GTTTTCAATCTGAACTTTCTTTCACCTTGTTGGTTCCTTTGACAATACTAAACTTTTCATAATAAGTGATAAAATTTTCATATTAAATCGTTTGGCTTTGATATTATACTGGTGTAGTAATTATTGGAGATCATCTTCGTTCTCTGTTATCAAAAACTCGTCATAAACATCGCATATTATCTTTATCTCCTTGCTTGCCGGTTGTTTTTTTTTTATTTTTACTAGCTTAAAACCTCTCAATACTATATTAAATATAAAAGAATAAATATTACAACTGGACTTCCATATCTGATTCCTGGAATCAGATTGTAGTGTTTATAGATTCTTTTTTTTTCTATTTGAACTTTTACTTCGGTTCTGTTTCTTACATGTCGGTTCTCTATTATTTTTATGATATCAAGTAATCTGGATTATCTGTTGTACAGATGTATATCGCATCCGATAGTCTCACTGTGTCGTAGGACATTTCTAAATTAACCAAACATAGTTAGACTAGTTTATCATATTATTATATACTTCTCTGCACAAGAAACTTGTTGTTAGTCTGGTATACTAATCTTTTCTTCAAATTATTTGATATTATTTTTAATATTAATTTCAAAATAGTACTTAATAATTCCTTTAGAGTATTATGGTCGCACATTACACCTATTGTAAAAGAAAAAACATAATACTCGTTCTCCACTCCTCATGTATTGTTGATGACCTTAACCCTTTATTAAATATTATGGTTAACTGTTGTATAAGCCATATTTTAGTAATTTCTTTTCTGTTTTTTAACTTTATGATGACTTCTTTTATCTCAGGTTTTTATCACTTGCGTTAACTCATTTGATGTTATATCGGGAGTTTCAAGAGCATGTTCAGTTTCCTTTGTTCGGTTTATTTGTCTAATATTATGTTGTCCATTTTTTTATTTATGTTGATATCTTATATTAATTCCTTAATTTCTATTATATGTCCCTCTTATAAACTTTTACTGTTTTATTGTTTTCTTCGGCCTGATTAGCCCATGTGCCGTGTTACGAACTCTCTTATATTCATAAGTCCCCTGCGTTCTTTCAGATCTATATTTTATATAAACATTCTTTTTTCCTTCAGATATATTTCTATACTTTGGGTAAATATTATAGTGTACGTTTTCTTTCATTTAAGTTTGTGTTTATTTTTATTCCTCCTAGAGGCTTGTTTGCTTTATGTTGTTTTAATTCTTTTCCCAACTAACTTAGTTATCTTCATCGCATGTAACGCTTTGTTGTTAAATTATTTTATCTAGCCTACTTTGATATAGTTTTTTGTCAAAATTGTCTTTATTAATTTTAGTTTCTAGTGTTGGTAGTTTGTGTTTATGATTCTTAATCGAATTAAGATGACTTTTTCCACAACTAAATTGTGGCCAGTCCCTACGTTAGCTTAGATCAGGCTCCCTACATCTAATACTTGCTGGTATTATTAATTTATATTTGTAAGAATATGGTATCTCATTGATTTGTGTCCAGTTGTGTTAAATGTTCTTAAAAAAGTATTACATTGACTTAAATAACCAAAATTATTATATTTCTTTCAATAAATATCAAGTTCATATTTTTAGAAATCATAACAATATTTTGTCATTTATAAGCTTCTGTTTAAAATATAGGTTACTTAAATATTATACTTTTGCCGTTTTTAAGATCATAAATCTATTTTGAGGTATCCATTACTTAAACAATCGCGAAATGAGAAATAACGTTCTTGCCTTAAATAGGAAATAAATGGGGGAATCCCCGAATTATCGAAATACGCAGTGAGCGAATTGACAACACCGTATGAGTCTATAAGGTCGTGTATATGAGGCCCCAAGACCACAATACGGATAAAAATTATACTGATGAGGCTGTAAAATCGGAAATCGGCACGAGGTGGTAATGATAGGAGAACCGAGGGGGAGAGTATATGTTAAATTTTGTTTTATCCAAATAGAAACTAGGGCATTAAGAATCTTTTGTTACCTGTTTCGATATACACGACGACTAAAATACTATATACACCTGGAAATAGGAGAGGCCGTAAGGTTGCGCTAAGGTTTGAGTCCTTAAGGATAGTAGGATGTAAATATATATATATATATATATATATATATATATATATATATATATATATATATATATATATATATATATTTCTGCTCTTTATGATATGATTGATAGTCAACTTCGTTCACTTGAGACCTTAGACAAAACTGCTGACAAGTTATCGGCGATATTGTATCCTCTTATTAAGTCATGTCTGCCAGAAAATATGATTCGACTATGGCATCTTATGTTTTCGTGTCCATGGAAAATATTGGAAAAACTGCAGAAGTTACAACTTTAAAAACACACTTTAGAGTGGGTTAATGACATTTTTACAGAGTGAAGTTTAAAATGAAAAAAAAAAATTGATTTAGCAACGGAAGGTTTTCGTTTACTGGCTGAAAATGAATATAAATTCAATAGTCTTATTGCCAAGATAAATGTAAAATTACAAAGAACTGATCAGTACTTAGCGTCCGCTGATGGGTTAATAAATTATGAGGTTTACAGGTGTATATTTTTATTATAAGTAATTTTTTGTATTTGAAATAAGTTTAGTTTTTTACAAAACTAATATGCACAATTTAAAATGTTTACAAAACTAAAAAAACAACACAAAAAAAAAACAAAACAACAATTTAACTTAGGTAAATGAACCTCAACGCAACACGATACAAAAATTAAAAAATCATGTGGAATGATGCAATCCAAAAATTAGAATTTGTGAAACTTCAAAAATAATACGATAGCTAATTTCAACTACCGCACCGTTCAACTTACATTGCAGAAGACTGCCGACCGTGAGCGAACTATACCGATTCTCCCGATCGTATATTATATTTTCAGTTTCAGTACTTGGCCTCATTGGCAACACTGTCGCTGTTCAGATAATTAAATTTCGAGACAATCAAAATATTAAAATATGATGCACGTGCTGCCATCTATTTAAAAAATTGTTAAACGTTAGTTTATTTGAACACCGCTCATTTTAACTGCGGCGTGAACATACCCCCTTAATACTGAGAAGTAGGAATTGTTGTGTTGTAGGTTTCCGACACTGAATCTGTCAAAATATGGCCGAGCTAACCGAATGGAGTTTATCGTTTCTGATACAAGAAACTATACGCTTGTATGGCACTATCCATTTTTTGTTATATCAGAAACGATATAAGAAATGATACAAGAAAATACATAGTGTCATAGGGCCTTTAGGCAATGAAAACGAAACAGTTGATTCAGCCGTAACTTCAATTAAGGGGAGCATTTTCATCAAGGGGGTTGATTTTTATTCCACGCTCTTTTCAGCGTTACTTCCGAAACATCAGCCCAACCATCCACAGCATTGTCGACTGCGTGTTTTAAATTGTATGCTTTCTAGTATTCTGGCAAAGAATATTACTCTTCCATCTAGGTTTTGCAAAAATTTTTTCTGTATCTTCTTTTGAATGTTTTAATGACCGAATGATTCCATGATACCAGGCAGAAAAGAGTACGTGAGATTTTTATCGTCACTCCGCAGCATATCGGCTTTATGATGGGCAGGTGCATTGTCCAAAATGAGAATCGTCTTTGGTGGAACATTTTTTGCAAACAAAATGAATTGATGACTAAATGTTTACTTATGTTGTCAATATAACTTATGTATGGACCCTGACGGTTAATAGAGAGACGGATAATCGAGGTTCCACTGTATATATAATCGTCATATTGATTCAATGGCTAAAATCGTAGTATTATTGTTTTGAGACCACTTTACCATTGCAAGCTGAATCCAATTGAACCTGTGATTTCGAAAAGGATATAAGTCACACTTTTTTTAAATATCACTTTTTTGTGCCATTTTTTTCTTAAAGCTTTTTAGTGTTTTCTGTGACAAGGGCACGCTTTATTTGTGTTACATTTTAAATTACTCTAATTTAAATCACAAAGTAATTTTCATTGTTGGATTATTTATTCAACTATTTATTAATTTTTCTAAAATACAGAAGGCCTATTATTTATAATTAGAATAAAAATCGTTTTTATTAACAATAGATATATTTGTTATTTGACAATTAATTATCTAAAATTATTTTAAAAAAAAACTACCTTGTTTTCTACTCATTTCCTTTTTTTTATATAAATTTCTCAAAAAAATTCAATTTTCAATGTTGACAATACTTTAAGATGCCGCCGTGAAACGGCACTGATAGAGAGTAAAGCCTTAAGGAATTCTATAATTTGTGCTAACCAAATTTTAATTTGCTAAAACGCATCGTGAATACATCTGTTGTTACAGCTAGCCCACTGTGAAGGACTGCATATTACTTACTAAAATGTAAGTAGAGTCGGTAAAATGCCATGAACATATTTTTTATTAATAAACGACATATTTGATTTGCACCTCATACAATTAGTAGATTATTTACAAGTTTGCGTAACCTTTCTCAATTTCTAGTTGAACTATGTCCCATCAACTGGCACTATTACTATACTAAACAATGAAACTACATTTAAACTCGCTAAGATATCATTTGATCTTTCTGTGATAGCCTTTATTTTCTCGATAAAATGTAGAATCACTGACTTAAGTATCAAGCTAGCCAATGAGTGGTTTTACCCAATACTTCAAGTGTAAAGAATTCCCTCGGGAGAGGATCTTGAAGAATCACCAGTAATCGGGAATCAGCAATGAGCGGCACGCGGTTATGTCCATTGCCTCATCGCCCCTGCTAATTTCGGGTTTAGTTGTAGGGGAAATACTGATAAACATGTACATTATTTTGTATGTCATAAGTAATGTGGTATAAAGGATTAAGTTCAGAAATTTGAAAGAACTATTGCAATTTTTACAAGAACACATGTGTGATAATCGTCATATAATATCACCCCTGTCTTTAATTTAAAGATTTGTAATTAAAATTAAAATCAAATTTATGTCATTCTAATATCAATCTTTTATTCCAGAATAGAGTATGGCAAAGAGATTATAGAGATAGAAGAGCCCTTCAGCCAGATGCTATGTATTATCCAGACTTAATGCCCCCTCCTAGTTATCCTGATAATCCTATTAATTGTGTTACCACTAGGTTTGTAAAAACTGCTACAAATAAAATGAGGTGTCCAATTTTCTGTATGGCCTGGACCCCCGAGGGTAGAAGACTGGTAACTGGCGCTAGTTCAGGAGAATTCACATTATGGAATGGATTAACATTTAATTTCGAAACTATCTTACAGGTAAGCTTATTACAATTTTGCTTTTTAATTGATTTTTAAACCTTGTTGATAAAATTTTGTTCCCATTTCTTTACATTTAAAAAAGGCAAAATCTGCATAAATTGCGAAAAATATGACATCTATCATTAAAATTTAGGATATTTATGATTTAATAAATCGCAACGGTAATTTTATATCTCCAAATATAAGCATGATCCTCCTCAGTTTTTCCCCTTTCAGATTTCACTGTTCCTTACTCTCCATCGCCACCTCAGTTATGTCCATCGGGTCTTTTTCACCTAAACCTTTCTCTTTTAAGTCATCTGTCACACAGTCCTATCTTCTCTGTTTTCCTCTACCTCTACCACATAGTTTTCATCTCTATGTCTGACATGACCAAACCATTGCAGTTTTTGTTCTTGAATCTTTTTTGAGACTGTAGGTACACCGGTTCTTTCTTTCATTAAGTCGTTTTTGATCCTGTCCCTTCTAGTATTACCCAACTTTCACCATAACATTTTAATTTCAGCTACCTCCATTTTCTTTTCATGAAAATTCTTTACAGGCCACACTTCACCGCCGTACACCAACTCAGGTCTCATTACACTCAGGTCTTGTATATTTTTCCTTTCAGCCCTTCCCCAATTTTTAGATCACGTATCCCACTCATTCGCTTACAGTTAAACCAACCAGCTTGTATCCTGTGAAATCTACTCTGTAGAAAGCTGATTTTCATATAAGATATATTATTTTGAACAAGAAATAATGGCGGGACGTTTGTACTATTAAAGCCCTACAAAAGGTAAATTTAAAATCTAGAATATATAATTTTGTAATGTTTTTGTATTTTAATGTGTTGCAGTAGTCTTAAAATTAAGTGTATTTACTGTTAATCTCATATTTTGACAAATAGTTGACATTTTAAAAATTACTCACTTACTAACTATTCTGATATTTGGGCAACGCTGTGGAGTTCTGACGACGTAAATCTTGAATGACGTGCAAACATTTTTATATGAAAAAATGCTATAAGTTATAGCATATTCGATAAAATTACTGTCTACACAACTTAGCAACTCAGTCAATGGATATAATGAAAGAAAACTGCAATTTATGTTAGGGTTTAAACATATTAAAGAGTCATCATGTAGAAATCTACAATTAAGTTAAAAAAATTACCAGAGCAGCATGCCGCAGTAGCGCCATGCTCCATCTCTAGGATCAGAAACAAATTAATCGAGGGTGAAGATCAACCTTAACCTGACAGCTTACCACCATAAACCAATTGATTTATTAGCAAATACACACAAGCATTTGAACACATACCTAAGAATATAAATATTTACTTTACAAACACATGTGTATTTTTGTTTTTCTTAGATTTTTTCAGTAGGTTCATCAACTGAACACACACGTTTGGATTCCGTATATTGCTTACTTAAAATTTGTAGATTACCAACAAATTTGTATATTCCATTTTATAATATTGATAATAATCCATTTTCGATGGTTTCACTAAACCTATTCTTAGTCGTGCGAAATACAAGCCATTTTGAAGACCTGGATTACCAGGTCTGGATTACTTGAAAGTCAGTTATTCGAGTTGTTGTGAATATCTCTCGTCCTGAACATAAGATAAGCACCAAAATTCTAACTGGTTGATTATAGAGTCTGATTAATAAATCTTCGTAGCAGCATGTGCCAATTCGATGTTGAAGTAATTGTAAATTGAGTTTAAATAATTTTATTTTATTTGTGCACATTTATAAACACTTTTATTTTACAATTTCTGTTAAAAGTACTAAGTTTAAACTTGACCACTTTGCTATGTCCTATACCATAATGTGCGGTGAAAGCGAAATATAAAATTTTACACAGCACTATGGGCTGTCCGACTGAGGACTGTTTAGAGAATAAATAGATATCGCGTGGTGACCGTCCTCACCGAGGATGTTAGAGTGTGCGAGTGATTGTCTCAATTGGGGACTAGAGAGTATGTTTATTGTCAGACTTCTGACTGGAGAGTGTCTTGAAACTGCAAAAAAAACAGCCATTTATAGGAAATTGTAGTAACAATAAGGATATTTTTTATTGTCTCCTGGTTTGTTCATTCAAACAATAAAACCTTTATAATCGACTATTAAGAGACGTTTTAGTAAAAATAGAACGATGAAAAATACAGGTGTGTGATTTGTGGCTTACAGTTAGGTATTTAAAAGCAATAAAAATAATTTACGACCGGCTATTAAAAGCTTTTAACGAGAAATAGAAACATGCAGGTGTCGGATCACATCACCACTTCGGGTATTGTGTAAATATAAAAAACTGGTCTGTAAGTGTAGGTTGAAAATAATTTGAGAAATTTATGAGGCATTTACAGAACTATCGATCTTTTTTAGGGTAAAGATGCATTTAAAAGTATTAAAAATGAATTTTTTTTGGTATGTTACAAAAGCTGTAACATAGATCTCAGATCGTTTTAATCTTTGAATCATGCGATTTGGCACGACACTTAGGACTTTTGAAAGAAAATTTTATACGACATGGTTTCGATTCACACACTATTTTACTGTCTGTGATTATTGTTGCACTCTGTGCATTTTAAACGTGTTTTAAAATCATGATTTCTAAATTTATTTTCTTTCCAGGCACATGACAGTCCAGTCAGGACGATGGTGTGGAGTCACAACGACAGCTGGATGATAACAGGTGACCATTCTGGTTATGTTAAATATTGGCAGTCCAACATGAATAATGTAAAGATGTTCCAAGCGCACAAAGAAGCACTTCGAGGCATAAGGTATCTACAACTTCTCTCCGTAATTATAAAACTTGTACACTTACTTATATTTTGCTTTATCAATAAAAGATCCCTCCTTCTCCCTACATTAGTGCAAAATAAAGAAATCAAATTTAAATAATGCCATCGATATTTTCCAAAGAATACATTGCATTTCAAATTGTCTAGTTGGAAACATTGTACTTAACTGGCTCTAAAGGAGATAAGAGTTTGGATGCTTTTTAAAAGTATGTTCTTACACATAATATGATAGTCGTTTTTATTAGATTCAATTGTATATGGGGATAAACTGAGGCAATATTTTTATTCTTTATAAAGTATGAATTGTCAGTTTCTTTAAACCAATTAGTCCTAATTATGTGAATATTTAAAAAGATTTGTTACTACTTTTATTTTTGTAAAATTAGGAACAGGAACATGATTATATGCATACATAAGACACGATGATATAACCAATTAGTGTTCCTTTAGAGCTTCTACATAAGCCATACAAAACTAATCCCATAAAAGTAAGATGGCGAATGGACAATGATTAGTAGTTCCCAATCATACACAAAATTATTTTATCGAAGTAAGCAAATGATAACGAATAGTACATTGTGATTATTTTAATATTGGAATTAATGCAATATATGGAAAAGTATATGGCCAAGTATATATTTAAACAAAAATGTGATGTACCATACACTTGATCACCGCCGTCCAATGAAAATTGTACAAAAAATCATGTCCACATTAAAACATGAGGATGTTGACCTGAGAATAGCTTTTATATTTCTCAAAACAATTGATAATGAACAGGATGTCAATTAGAAAAAACTATATGAATATATCAAACATCCACACGATTAAGAAAATACTATCAATTTAGTCCAATGGTTTGGTTTATTAATTAAGAAAACATTTTTAATTTTAAGAGCTGCTTCAAATTGAAGTACAATAAAAGTTACATTGTTTTCCAACTGTGTGTTTTGTAGTGCATTGTATTTTACATTGGGTATCGTTTAAAATTCTGTGATAAAAAACTCTGTTGTGATAATTAATCGTGATGTAATTATTTTTACATTGAATAAATTAGTTTAAAAAGAATAAAATGAGTCGATTCCAGGAATTTCTTCAAACTGAGTCCTTGTGGCTCGATTTGAGGAGATTTTTGGAATTGCGTTTTTATTTTTAACCTCTTCAATCATTCGGTCATTGGGGATTATAGTAAATAAAAAAGTTTAGAAAAGTTTCCTTGTTTTATTTCATCAACAAGAAAGAAGGTGGTAATATTTTTAAAATATTAATAAACTAATGCATTTGTGAATTTTTATTTTTAGCAATGTATTCCTGCAGCTGGGTTTTGTATCATGTTCAAGGTGTCTCAAGGGTGATTAAAAATTTAATTTTAATATCAAATTGACGTGTAGGGAAGTTTTTTCCTATACTTCATGAACAAATTTTAAAAATGCGTTATATCAAACTATATACTTTTTGTAGTCACTGAATATATTTTTTGTCTAGTATGTTACTGAATATAATTGATAGTATTTTGTTGTATGAATTGATTCACAAAAGGACGCTCTATCAGAATTTAAAAAACTCTTTTGCACATTTAAAGTAGCGAAAAAAACTAGGTTTTATAAAGTCTTTCGTATTTCAGCACACTTTTATTACCTATTAATTGTCTCAAATTTAAATGTTTCGATAGATGGTACAAAAATAAGAAAAAAACTTTTTTTCGCCCAATTAATACCTTTTTTAGTCAATTAAATATTAACCATTTTATTAATCCAGTCGTCAGAGTTGACCCCTAAAAAATCATACGAATAAGCTGAATTTTGCAGAGAATATTAATTTTAGGACCCCAAAAAAGATGCAAAAATGTTTACCCCTGGCTTCCCCCTAAAACTCTCGCAGTGTGGCAAAAACACACAAAAATCGATTTACCAAAAATTTGTTCACCGTAGAACAAAATGTTTCAAATAAAAAACGTAGCTGAGATAATTCTGAACAAAAATGTTTATAAGCATTTTTGTGTAGAATGACCCGTTCTCTTTGTTTGTATCAGCTTGACGGTAAAAATTAGATATCTTTTGATCCAAATGTCCTATCGACAAAAATCAAGAATCGTTTTAAAGGCAAGGAGTGCAGTTTTTGTATTTTGCCGAGAATAAACTCAGTTTTTATAAAGGTGTTTAATAAATTAACGTGGTGCGTAATAACTGTAAATTCTGCGTTTTTATTCATATTTCAAATGCCTTATATTTGTTACCACAACTCAAAATTGAAATTTCATGTCATAGGTTTTAAAGAATAATCTCTAAAAATTAAAATTTTACTGCAACAGTTCATTGAAAGTGATCAATTTTATTGATCTCACGAGAATCTTAAAAAATGGCAAAAATCGCGCTACGGTAATTTATTAAACACCTTTATAAAAACTGAGTTTATTCTCGGCAAAATACAAAAACTGCATACGAAAGCGGCACTAAAACGCATTTTGATTTTTGTCGATAGGACATTTGGATCAAAAGATATCGAATTTTTACCGTCAAGCTGATACAAATTTTATTGAACATTAGACATGCAAAATCGACGGTCGCTTCAATCGTTGTTTCTAAGAGAACGGCTCATTCTACATAAAAAATGCTTATAAACATTATTGTTTAAGATTATTTCAGTTACATTTTTTATTTGAAACCTTTTTTTCTACGGTGTACAAATTCTTGGTAAATCGATTTTTTTACGTTTTTACTCCCCTGCGAGGAAGTTTTTAGGGGGAAGCCCGGGGGTAAAAGTGGTAAACTTTTTTGTATCTTTTTTGGGATCTCAAAATTAATATTCTCGGCCAAATTCAACGTGTTAGTATGATTTAGTATAGAGGTTCAGTGGCATTTTCTTCTCTGACGACTGGAGTATATAGTCTTTTTAATTAATAAAATGAAGAGGCAGGCTCATATTTGGACAAAATACGAATTTTAATGATTAACTTATTAATTCCTGTAAAAATATGTAAATTATGAAAATATTTGGTGATCTAAGTTTAAAAGAATATAAAGAATAATTTACATCTCGATAAACCAAATTTATTTTGAAAAGTATTAATTCCAAAAAAATATGTGTTGAAAAAATATACCAGAAACCAAAAATTCACTTGGAACCAGAAATTAAAAAAAAACTGAATCCAACATCAACACCTGTATCGTCTACCAAAATGAGTAAAATAGTTTCCAGAATTCCAAATAAACTTACGTTATATAACAATAAAACACTGAAAACTTTGTTTTCAAAACTTCCATAAAATTATTATATTTTATCACTACAGCTGTTTCGCAGAGTGTCTTTCAATTGAGAAACACTGAAAACAAAGTTTTCAGTGTTTTATTGTTATATAAAATGAGTTTTCATCAAGTAACGGTCGAATCCATCACAAACTTACGTTAGTTTGTTTGGTACTATGGCTTTGAAATGATCAAGTGGTAATGATGTCTTTTTTATGACAATGGTTTTTGGGTTCTTTGTATCTTAATTCTTCATACTACCTAGTGTGTCGGATTTTTTGTTGTGTTGGTGTCTTCGCTTTTTTTTTCTCAATATATTTTTTATTTCTGCGTAGTTCATCCCTCTGGCTTTACCTGCTTTTATAATTTCGTCTATTCAACTTTTTCTTAGTCGTCCTGCCTTTCGTTTCTTTACTATTTCAGTTTCTAATATTCTCTTTGATCACTTTTAGTCACTTATCCTTCGTACGTGCCCAAACCATTCCAATTATTTTCTGGTTGATTATGTTTCTTATTATGGATTCTTGCTCTAGTTAGTTTCGTATTTGATCATTTAAATTGCATTTATTTTTCTTTAATGTTTAGTTTGTAAAGCCCAGCTTTCACTGGCATGTTAATTGTATTATATACTAGTAACTTGGCTTTGTTTTTTATTTCCTTCTTTTAGTCTATTGTTTTAGTGCGTATACTAAATTTTGTTGGCTTTCTTCTATTTATCAACTATCTCCAAATCGAATTTTCCTAGGTATTCAAATGTTGAGCTGCTCTAGTTTTAGTCCTTGGTATATTATTGTCTTTTCCTTTTTGCAATGAAATGTTTCAATTTGTGTAGGGGTAAGTTGATTGTGTCCAACTGTCGATTAAGGATACATATACATATTATAACTGACCTGTAGGGGGTTGTCGATTGTTGTTTCCTCGTTCTAGATCTTATATTCTTTATTAATGTGTCCATAATTATTATAAATAGACGGCTATCTCATTGTTTCACTCCTCGTTCTAGGAGAAAACATCTGATCCTTCTCCCCTGATTTTTATTTTAGCTCTAATATTTTCATATATTGATGTTACTTCTATTAGCTTACTCAGGGTTTTTAGCTGTTTTAAACATTTATTGAGTATTTTTCATCTATTGTGTCAAATGCAGATTTTAAGTCTATGAACACTAGTACTAGGTCCTTTCCTGTCTCCATTTTTCTAAAAACAAAAATATCTGTTGTTTGTCTTTGTTTTCTGAAGGACGCCTGTGTTTCTATGTTATTTTCAGTATTAGCCCTTAATTTATCTTCTGTTATTTTAGTATATACTTTAAATGCCACTTGAGCTACTCATATCGCTCTATAATTCTCCTAGTTGGTTCTGTCCCCTTTCTAGGTAGAATAATATTATTTTCCCAATCTTTTGGTATTTAATTTTACTTCAGTGCATGATTACAGACTATCTAAATCCAGTCTATGGCTTCCTCGTCAATTCATTTCATCATTTCTGGTTCTCTTCCATCTTCCCTTCCAATTTTCCCGTTTTTAATTATTTTTGTTGCTTCGATACTTTTTTTTTCTCTCTACTCTCCATATCATGTTCTCTTTTTTCCTTGAGCTTGATATGTCATTTGAGTTCAGGCCTGTGTCTTCTTCTTATTTAAATTTACAGGTGTAATACTCCTTCCAGACTTTTACTATTTCGTGTAATTTATGTTGTTTTTTGGTATTTCCATCTTGTATGCACATTTCCGTT